GTTGGGGATGGCTGTGGATCTAGAGAAAGTGCATCAGGATAATAAAAAAGACTTCAGTAGGTCCTCCCTGGTGGTGCAACGGGTTAAAGCACAGCACCATGAAGCTCACCGCAGCCACCTCAGCTTGAGTCCCATCCCCCACCATGGAGGTGACCCACGTAGCACAGCAGACCTTGCCTGTCTCTCCTGCTGCTCCCCTCAGCAGTGTATTTCAGTCCATCTGCCTGTTTTGCTCCCCACTCTGTCTCTGGTGAATCCTCTCAACACTTCTGCTCCTCTGGCCTGTACCCAGGTCTGTATGCACAAATAAATAAATCTTTTTAAAAAAGCAAAAAGGTCTTTTTAAAAGGACTTAACACAGTCCCTTTTTTAAAAGACTGAAAAGATTCTACCTATATTTCTAACCAAGAAAAGGTTAAAGGAAGTTGAGACGCCTAACTGCCCAGTGTCCCCCAGGGGACCACCTTGATGAAAAGCGAAGAAAAATGCATAACTCTTCCAGTAACTAGTGCAAACACTGAATAAGTTCAGTGAGCTAAGGGTTTCACCCCAAAGATGAAGTAATGAACGGTTTAGGGGCAGGTAGCGTAGCTCAAGGACGACATGAGTGATTGGGTACTGAAGAAGGAAAGTTCTTCCAGCTGTTCAGCTCCTGAGCGAGGTCATGAGGTCTAGAAGACAGAGCAGTTTTCTGTGATGTGGGGGAGGATGAAGAATGGGGTGTCGGTGGCAAGATAACGACCCCTGGACAACATGGGGTTAAGAGTACCAGGCCCCACCTCCATCATCAAGGGTCTGCATGACTTTTCACTGCCCCAACCTTATAGAATACAGCATAATAGTATATACAATAGTATGACTCACCCAGGAGTGTTCCTGAAAATCTCAGCAGTCCTCACTCATGTAAGTTATGTATTATATGCCACCTTATTACAATAACATAAGCTAGAGAAAAGTTGTCTTTGAGAAAATCATAAAGAAGAGAACACATTTATAGTAGGAGTATTTGTCAGTCCCTTACGTTTGGCATCTGTTTATAACCTGAATCATCTGTCCATCAGGACCTACATCTAAAAAGCGCTGGGGGTGTCATAGGTCTAGCAGCAGACACCAAAACTGAGCAGATACTGTACAGACAGAATCCGTGTTTCTCTACAAGCTCGTACTCTACTTCCTGTGCTCGGAACCAAGGAGCAGCCCTTGGGCTGCAATGTGGTTTTTATATTTACTGAGAAAGTCCACATGGAAGTAGACCTGCGCAGATGAAGCCTGTGTTGTTTGAGGGCTGTCACTGTAACAATGGGCCCTCCCTGGTGGCCCACTGGGTTAAAGCACAGTGCTGCGAAGCCAGACGCAGCCACTTCGGTGCAAGTTCATCGGTCCTGGAGCTGACCCACACGGTGCAGCAGACCTCGCCTGTCTCACCCGCTGCTCCCCTCAGCAGTGTACTTCATCGATCTGCCTGTTCTGCTCCCCACTCTGTCTCGGGTGAATCCTCTCACCACCCTGCACCTCTGGCCTGTGCCCCAGTTCTGTATGCATAAATGAATAAATATTTTTTAAAAAATGTCTAACAATAACTGTCGCTTGTAAAGCGCATGATCATTTACAAAGCTTGTACTTATGGGGTAAGCTGTGCTTTGAGAAACTCCCTGAATGAAGAGGGAGATTTTTATTTCCATGTGTAAGGTGAGAAAAAAAATGAGCCTTGGAGTAGTAGCAGGGCCTCATTGCTAGGGGAAGCAGAATTTGGACCTCACTCCGCAGCCTCCTACTCTCTCTTAACCAAACTAAAATGACTCTGATTTAAAATAGAATAAGGACATTTTTTCTTAATAATAGTTTATTTTTACAGCATTTTATGCATTTTCCCATCTCAGTTGCAATCCCCTTGGCTTTCCCATCACCAAATCACCCGTGTGCCATCACCATAGTCCAGTGCATTTTCCTCCCCCCACTGTTTTTGATCCCATTCCCCACTCCACCCCCGTAAAATGTCTCTGGCCTATAGCTATTCATTATTATTAGTTAGAATAAGGACTTTTTAATTCCAGGTATAGCCATCATCAAACAGCATTGCAAGATATTTTTAGAAATCTGAAATCTGAATAGGGTGGCTTTTGAGAACATCCGGTTTGCCAGGCACTCGGTTTCTCTTTTGCACGCCCAGAACCCAGAAGCACATCCGAGACAGATTATAGAGCACGTCAGTGGGGAAAAGTAGAGAGCATATTAATTAAGGTTAGGCCAAGAAAATGTTTTTGATTGAACAAGCTATGATTTTCTCATGGAGCCCATGTAAAATATGGAGTGTCAGACAAGCAGCTGGAACCCAGGAATACGTCACTTACTAACATTCCCAGCTTTCCCCATCCCTGCCTCCTATCCTATTTCTACTACTTTTTCCTCTCTAGGCATTATGTTTTGAAAGATTTTTTTTTCTAATCAACAAACTGCCTTTATTAAGTAACACTCTATTCCCTAGTTTTAATATGGGACGACATACATTACAGAGGATACATAAAATCAGAAAGCAGCAGGATGCAACTTCCACTCGACATTTGAAGCGAGTTTGTGGACTTCATTAGCACTGGTGAACTCCTAGGAGTCCAGGTGCTTTGGTTTGGGTTGAGTAGCACTGTTTGTTTGTTTACATGGCTGGCATAACTATACCATTGAAGGGTGTGGAGAGAGAAATTAAAGAAGCAACAGAAATCTGGTTAATTCCCAGCTATGCATCAAGTCAACAGGGTGATGTGCTAGAAACGATTGTCAGGATTTGTTATGACTAGAGCAAGGTTGTGCGTAAGCAGAGCTGAGGCACACAGCCTCTACTGAGTGCATGACAGTGATAAAAGGAAAGAAAATTCCCAATGTGCAAAAAGATGCCTGAGCATTTGCGAATGTGGAGGAGAAAGGGCCAGCAAGGCCAGCAGAGCTGTAAGAATGAGAGGCGGAGGCTGCAGGTAACTTGGAACAAGGGAGGAGGCAGTCATCACTGAGGAAGCTTCAGGTGGACCTAAGAAAACCAAAAACTAAAAGATAGGTGAAGAAAATTAAGGTAGAATGGGAAGTGTAATCATGTGGGTTTTGCAATTACTACTTAAAAAAAAGTTTTTTTTTTTGGTCTTTTAACCTTTTTTTTTATTTTTTAAATTATTACAAAAGTTTATTTTTACATCATTTTGCACATTTTTTTTTCATCTCGATTGTAATCCCCGCGGGTTTCCCATCACCAAATCACCCGTGTGCCACCACCATAGTCTCGTGCATTTCTCTCCCTTCCCCCTTCCCCCGTTTTTGATCCCATTCCCCACTCCACCCCCACAACATGTCTCTGGTATATGGTTGTTCACTATTTTTGTTATTTTCTCGCCTGGTCCATTATACTCTTGCTATGAGTGAAACCATCCGGTATTTTTCTTTCTCTTTCTGGCTTATCTCACTAAGCATGATCTTTTCCAGCTCCATCCAAGTTGCTGCAAAAGACATGTGTTTCTCTTTTTTGGTTGCTGAGTAATATTCCATTGTATATATGTACCACATCTTTAAAAAAAAAGTTTTTAACCTAATTGCAGGCTTGGAATCGGGGGGTTATAAGTTTGCCTGTGCATGAGTTACATGGGGGGAGGGGGGCGGGGTGGTCACAACCTCTGCTCTGGCTCAGAGACCAGAGTCTCCAGCAGGTGGGTGGGGGTTACCCCCTCAGGAACTGTTGTTGCCAGCAAGAATTTACAGAGGACACCACATCAAATTCTCTTAGCTCAAGTTCAGAGATTAGGTAAAAAGTCCTCCATTGACCTAAAGCGGCATCCCAAATCATCCACTGGGATCAAAGCCAATATTTTTTGTAAAGGATAAATGAGCAAAATGAAAACCAAGACCAGAGTTGTAGAAAGAAAATTAAAATTCCATCCGATTCTGTGTTTCATTGCTAAGTACCTTCCATGTATCGGGCACCAAGAAGTCGTGTAAAAAGCCATCAGGGCAAAGCTCCACTGGAGAACAAAGAAATTCAAAAGCTCTGTAGGAGCATTGCAGGAAATGGAAGCATTTGGACTAAGAAGAAATGTCATGTGGAACATTTTACATTAACAAGCGGCTGGTGAAAGCTAATATAAAGTTTGGGGGTGGGAAAGGAAACCCCTAGTCATGAAGAGGGTGTGGGTAAAGGAGAAATAATAACAGCTGCTGTCTGAAAACCCCAGAAAAATTCTTAGAACCATTTGGCCAATACAATGAGAGAAAGAGTGAAAGTCACAACTACAAAGGGAGTTTATGACAACTTGTTAAAAGCACAGAGAAAGAGAAGGCGCTTGGTCTTGGCCTAACTGCTGTCTGATTGCCCAAGAGGATGACTGGGAAGCAGAAGAATACTTCATGGCAACAGAGAAATATGAACAAGCACCACAGGGTTAAGAAATAAATATGATTCAATTGCATGTTTGAAGGGGTCTTCTAGATTTGGGCGGCAGAAAAATTTAAATGGGCAGGACGTAAATATCTACTGTAACAATTAAATAGGAACTCTATGAAGCCTATAAAAGCCTAGACATTTTTTTAAAGGTTTATTATTTATGCACACAAGAACTGGGGTACAGGCCAGAGGTGCAGGGGGTAAGAGGATTCACCAGAGAGAGTGGAGAGCAGAACAGGCAGATGTACTGAAATACTGAAATGCTGAGGGGAGCAGCGGGTGGGTTAGGAGAGAGGTCTGCCACGCCAGGTGGGTCAGCTTCCTGGCCAGAAATGGAATTCATGCTACGGTGGCTGTGGATCGCTTCACAGTGCTGTGCTTTAACCCGCTGCACCACCAGGGAGGGCCCTTATTCCTAGACACTTCGAAGACACTCTCCCTGTATGCTCTGCTCAAATGCTCCCTGTATGCCCTGCTCAAACGCTGTCACTCCAGCAGGTGGTCGCAAGAGCACCCCTTTCTGGTGGACCATTAGCTATTCTGCAAAATCTTGACCACTCTTTTTCTTGTCATCCTGTCCCAGCTCACCAGAGTCCCTGTGGAGTCCTGTGGACAATACGAGACCTGCAGCGAGTGCCTCGGCTCTGGCGACCCCCACTGTGGCTGGTGTGTGCTCCACAACACGTGAGTATCACCTGCAGCTCCCCCACTCCTTCTTCTCCTTCATCGCTCTCCTCCCCCTTGATTTCGCCCCTTTGTTTCTTACTCCTCCTTCCCAGTATCATTTGCAAATTGTATCTTCCCTCTCTGTGCTGACTTCAAATTGCCAAATTCCCCTAAGATAGATATGGAAATGGCGGCCCGGGAGCCCGGCTGGGTCAGCCTATGGAATCAGGCTGGATAATTACACACTGGGGAGGGGGTGGAGGGAGATTCCTGGACATTGCTCAGTGTGCTGTGATTGCAGACTGGCATTCCTGGCTGAGCTGCGGGACAGTGCTCAGCTCGCTTTCTTGAGGATCAGATGTGAGAGGATCACTCAGCCCTGTGCAAAATCTGTGCCGTCCACTTAGAGAGGCAATGTCCACTTCACATACTCTTTAATATCCCTCCAGAATCTTCTGGCACTTGAGGTGTACAGTCCAAAGGCATATTTCCCAGGGACCCCTCTTTCCGCCATCAGAATACCCATCTGGCTCTCAGATGGTAAAGACAGTCAACTGAGATCTAGGGGCAGAACTGAAGACCTTCCATTGGGGATCCAAAGGCCTCACCTACTGCAGAAGCCAGCAGTGGCCAGACCCTCTGATGGGAAATGACCCCAGTGAAGCTACTGCTGCTGGAACCCAGGCTTCCCATCAACACTTGACACTGTGAGTGGGACATGAGCATTAGAAATTGAGGAGAAGGACTTCAGTCTCCCTAAAACCAGCCTGGATTGCCCATCACCAGTTGTACATGACCAATCACTTTCAAATGAAAAGGGTGGGCAGGATCTTGCCTGCCTCCCCCACGCCCCAGGAGTGCCACTGAAAGCTAGAAATGCCCCCTTCTGTGTGGATCCATCCTCTCCACTGGCACAACGACCCAGCCCATCTGAGTGACAGTCTCAGGCATAACGAGTCTCAGAATGCTGTGCAAGACCTAGGTCCCTCAAACATGTCATAAGTAGAGATGAACAGCCGTGGGTCCACACCAACATACCTATAGCACAAGGCCACTATGGTCAGAAGTTCAGGGAGGCGAGTGCCCAGAGGTGGGTCCTGACTACAGCACAGCCTGAAGCGGGTGCCACAGAAGAACACAAAGAGCTTGGATTCAAATCTGATGGTCTCTGCTCAGTCAGAAGCGCCAAGAGACGATCCCTGGCAAGGCAAGGGGAGTTGGTCTTATGTCTCCCCAGGGACTGTGCTCTGGCCCCAGAGCTTCCTGGGGAACCCTGGGGCCAGCTGGCTTCTCTTGGCTGAGGATGGCTCAGCTGCTCCTGGCGTGGGGCTCCCAGACCTGGCATCAGTCAAGGGCAGCCGGAAAGCCTGGCTGCTCTCTGACATGTCTGCCAGTGGGCCGAAGCAGGTCTCCGAGTCAGCTTTGGTCCTGCTGGGGCTGCTGGCCAGACCTGCACAGCTCTGAGCCCTGTGGGGAGCCGAGAGGCCGCAAGAGTCCCGTGACTCACCCCCACCACACGTAAATGCAAGGCAGAGGGACCAGAGATGACTTGTGAGACTTTGTGGTCCCACTTTACCCTTGTGTATCCTGTTACCTGCCTCTGTCCAGTGGGTGGGTGAAGCCCGGGGCCAGGATGAAGCTCAGAGCATTCACGAAGGGCACTGCCAGCCTGCACTGGGAAGCCAGCAACCCCGCTTTCTGATGCCTTAGGCAGCCCAGATGTGAACTTTGGGCCAGCAAGCCCAAAGGCCCCCTCCCCCAGCAGTGGGCTGCGACATCCCAGCTTCTCCTCTGCAAATTGAACACAGCGATGCCTGTCTTGCCCGTCTCACCCAGGGGGTTGAGGAATCAACCGAGACCACGGAGGTGGGCGTGACGGTGAGAGCACAGAGAAGTGCAGGAATCCTGGCCCAGCTGGGGCAGGGTTGGGAGTGCAGGGGGCCTGGATCTTATAACCTTGGTTAAGCCCCATCGATTTTCCAGATGGCTCCACTTTAATTGCATCCTTCCCTTCTCATGGCTGACCCCAGCCTCAAACTGCCTTCCTCTGGGTGGTAAATGCCCTGCTGGATTCTCCTAACCTCTGCTCACCTGGCATCATGCCCCACTCTGAAGTTTGCATATCTTGCCCATGCGTCACCGGGCAGCCCTTAGCAGGCCCCGGCTGCCAGACTGCCAGAGGTCAGGGCTGTGTTGTGTTTTCTCTGTGCTGCTTGGAGTTGAGGGACTGCTCCTGGGGTCTCCTCCCAGAGCCAGAATAGCACGTGGGAACAGGCCTGCGGCTGGCAAATTCGGAGGAAGGTCAAGAATGACTTGCGGCTGCTTACCCAGGGATATTTCAGTTTACTAGGAAGGAAGAAATGTAAAATGTTGTGGAGGGGCTCACTGCTTTGGGAGAGTACTATACACATGTGTGTGCGTGTGTGTGGTCCTGTTCTCTCTGTGGCACTCCCCGTGCGAGGCTCGTGCCAGGGTAAGCCAACAGGACTGTTAGCCAGTGTCTGCCCTGACATCCCAAGTGTCTGGTTTAGGGATGTGGGGACGGAGCGGGCACAGGATCGATGTGTTAGAATCAGCACTCATCCCATCCCAGGGTGTGACCCTGACCCCAGGCCATCCAGGGCCAAAGAGCCTCAGGAGGGGCCCGAGGGGGCTCCTTTACTGCCATCCCTGTCATCCTGTCACTTGTGCCAACTTTCCCCAGGGTTGTGTGGAGTAGGATGGTGGGAACTTTGTGGAAAGAGGAGAGCAGAACCTGTGGTGTGTGTGCGTGCGTGTGTGTGTGTGTGTGTGTGTGTGTGTGTGTGTACAGAGGAGAGAGAAACAGAGGAACAGGGCAAGAGTGAGTGAGAAAGTGAGAGCATAGCGTGTGTAGTTCAAGGGCAGGGCCCTGCGAACAGGTGGCCGGGTGGCTGAAAGGCCTGTTTGTACCAGCAAGGACACAGGTGGGCTGCAGACTGAACAGGCTTAAGAACTGCTCGTGTAATTGAAACCCTCCCTCCCGTTACTCCCACTTGTCCAAAGCATGGCCTGCCAGCCCAGGAACATTACAGGGGCATCCTGCTGGTCACCTTCTCTTACCTCCAGCCCCGGCCCCACAGCCTGGCTGGTTTCTTTCTAAAGGTCACAGCAGCTTCGACAAGTCAGGCATTTGCCTGTCCAGGAATCCTGGGTTGTGTCCCCAGGGTATTCACCCTGGGCCCGAGCCCACCTACTTGTTCTGGCTCAGCTGTCTGTGCAGATCCAGGGACATTCCCTCCAGTACCAGGCTGGGCAGCTTCCCCCTCTCCTCTCCAGGGTAGCTCCCAAGCCCAGGCAAAGAAGGGACTCTCAGTCTCAGCAGGTAACCTGACCTCAAGGCAGACCCAGCCCATCGATTGGCCCAGACATTACCTCGCTTCAAAAGGACCATCAGCACCCCCTGGGAGGCTCATATAACCCAAGACATTGACAGGGAAAGATAAGCTCAGCTTTTATAAGTCTCCCCCACCCACCCCACCCACCCCACTCCTCTTTGCAGGTTTCTTCTGTTGGGAGAACGCCCTTCCCTGGGTGGGTGAGCACAGCTGCCGGTTCCAGCTTCAAGTCTTTGCTTCTTTGTTCCATTTCTGCCAAGATGGAGAAAGGGAAGGGAAGAAAGGTGCCACTACTGAGGAACAGGGTCAAACCCAGACCCAGTTGAAAGCAGCTCCCTCAGCCCTTAAGTCATCTCTGCAAAGAGCCATCTTTCAGCTTCACCTTGACAGTGAACCTAGGGGATTGGGCGCCCCCCCACCCCGCCCCAGCCTGGAGGTAGCCCCAGTTTCAAATACCACATAAGGAGAGGTTGAGGGGGAGACCCAGGGCCTGCTCCAAGGCCCCCCCACCCCGCGTCCTCTCCAGAGCCAGAGGGCTGTGGCCAGGCAGGAAGTCTGCCTGGTCTTGGCAGCGGTGGATGGCCATGCTTACAGGTGGCCTCAGCAGCCAGGGGGGCGTGTCAGAGGCGCACAGTCAGGCCCTCGTCCCCTCAGGCTGGCCCCTCGTCCCCTCAGCCTCTCAGCGGAGCACTGGCTGATTCTAAAATGCAAGTTCTTCCTGAGACGTGCTTCTTTATAGCGTATTCCATACGCCGGTCTTATTTTTTTGTGTGTTGGTTTGGTCTTCATTTCATTATTGTTTTGCTTTATATTCTCACTGAGATAACACTGGTCCACAACACTGCGTGAGTCAGAGGGACAGGCTCACACCTCCTCAGATGTCTGTGGCCACCCCACACCCAGCACTAAGAGTCCTGCGCGGAGCCTCCGCCCTGGTGGCAGAGGCCAGCACGAGCTCCGGTCTGTTAGATCAAGTCGCCTGAAGTCTGAGCAGAGGAGGGGTCAGATGTGTCGTAGGGACTCAGCCGCCTCCTTGTTGCCCACTGCGCTGTGAGGAGCTGGACCAGCTGCTGAGGCCTGCTAGGCTCTGCTCTCTGTCCTCTTCCCCCCTTCTTGCCCTCACTCCTGTGCCTTCCCTCACTCCTGTGCCTTCTCTATACCTGCTCTTTCCTAACCTCGCCCCAGAATCTGAGTGGAAACGGCTACATTTCAGCAGTGCTGCCTACTGACGAAGAGAAGCGAGGCCCTTCAGCCCTCTTGGCCACTGATGCATGTCATTACTCTTCTCTGAGAGAAGGTGGCCTCTACGCGTCCCTGCCACGACCAGCGGTGGCTGTGGTCATGGCGTCATGCGTCTGGGGAGGGACTGATGGGAAGTCGAGGCAAGACCCCAGCCCAGGTCCCGGGACGCAGACTGGCTTCTTGGTGCCGGCAGTGAGTCCTGCCATTTGAGCCACGCACGCCAGAACAGGATCACCCCCACTGCCCAAACCCAGAAAGGCCCTCAGGCCAGGCTTGGGCCATCACTCCAAAAAACGCAATCTGGAACACCAGCAGCCTCAGGACCAAGGTCCTGAAAAGAGAAGACTCAATGATCTTCCAGAGAGATCTGCCCTGGCGAGAAGGTGTGTTCTCTGAGAGCCGCACGCATCGTCTCTGTGT